TGGTGTGCTTGTGAGAGGAGGTGAGCTCAGGGTCTTTCTACTCCGCCATCTTAGCCGATCTCCCAAAAACTATTACCTGTCTCTAAAAGGTAAATTCAATTTTAGTCACTCCATAGAAAGAAGCCACGTTGTAGTGAGTTAAGTAAATAGACAATGAAGAAATAGAGTCAGCCGGTACAGATTGCTCTAAGAAGCTTGGCTGTGAAAAAAAGAACAGATGAGCTAACGCTTGAAGGGGAGCTAAGTCTGAAGGAATATATATATATATATTTAGGATGAGAAGATCTGAACATATTCTTAAGATGAAGAGAAGGAACCAATAGAGAGGGAGAGGATAAAAATGCAAGAGAGAGCCCTTAGCCCTCCCATGTTGTGGGAGAGGCTAGTGGGGGTAGGATCAAGATAATGGGCAGAACATAAACTCTAATAGCAAACACTTCAACTAACAAATTAGGGTAAAAAATTTGATGCTGACATAAAAATATTCTAATTTGAACAGTCAAAAAGGAAAGGATCATAAAAATCTTGATATATTAGATTAGTTGGGACAGTTTCAAAGAATAGCAGGTCCCTCTATGACTGGAATAAACAGTTTTTGTCTTGGGTTGACAATGAGCATTAATAAGGGTGAGGAGATGGGTTTGGGGGGAGACATGGTAAGTTCAGTTTTATACAGAGTGAATCTGTAGTGGACATTCAGATGGAGATGCTCAGGAGGAACTGGGTTATTATTTAGCTTGTCTGCCTGTGGTGAGTATGTGGCATTGTACCCATAGGCAAACAAGTTAAATACTTGTCTCAACAAGTTTTAAAAACTGAAACACAGATTTTTGGCAACTATCTGCATTCAATTTCGTTTTGATAGGTACAAGCTCCTTTACAGAAAGACTGTAAAGACTTTACAGAAAGGCTTTTTCCACAGCCATATTCCCAGCACTTATGCCAGTGTCAGGTGTAGAGTAGGTATGTAATCAGAATTTATTGAATGACTACTGATTGAATCTTTTTTGTCGTTTAAGCCAAAACCTACGTATCCTTATCTCCTCCCTCTTTCTTCTCCCACAGATCCTATCAGTCACCAAGCCTACTGATTTTCCCTCCAAAATATATCCTGATCCACTTCCTTCTCTCTTTTTTAAACTAGTGATGTTCTAGTTGAGGGTCTCATTATCTTCTGCCTGTACTAAGTACAATAGATTCATATCTGATTTCTCTGTCTCCAGTCTTGCTTCCTTTACATCTAGCCTCTGCATAGCAAAGTGCTTTTCTCTAAAATGTCCATTTGGGAAGATAAAAAAAAAAATCATTCCCCACTTAAAAGCCTTCTGTGCCTGCCCAGAGTTCAAGTTCCCAACTTGAAATACAAGACCTATGCACCATTGTCTCATCTTTTATCTTTCTTTGTCTTGAACTTTATTTTTTTTTTTTACAAAGTTCTTTTTTTTTTAAAGTCTTTATCGAATTTGTTGCAATATTGCTTCTTTTTTTTTTTTTTAATGTTTTGGTTTTTTGGCCCAGGGCATGTGGGATCTTAACTCCCTGACCAGTGACTGAACCTGCACACCCTGCATTGGAAGGCGAAGTCTTAACCACTGGACCGCCAGGGAAGTCCCCTCCCACTTTATTTTGCATGAACAAACTGCACTCATGTCACCCCATATACTACATTATATCATGCTATTTCCTCTGAATGGAATACTATTTCCATGTTTCTTCATTTGTCTGACTGTGACTCATTCTTTTAATTCGATTTGGATGTCAACTGCTGTAGTTCCCTCCTCCCCCCGCTCCTTCTTCTTTTTAAAAAATATTCATTCACAGATATTTATTCTGTGGCTGGTATATACCAGGTACTTTATTTTATTTTATTTTGCTTTTTATAAATTTATTTGTTTCATTTATTTTATTTTTGGCTACATTGGGTCTTCGTTGCTGCACGAGGACTTTCTCTAGTCGTGGTGAGCGGGGGCTACTCTTCGTTGTGGTGCATGGGCTTCTCATTGTGGTGGCTTCTTTTGTTGTAGAGCATGGGATCTAGGCACGTGGGCTTCAGTAGTTGTGGCACGCAGGCCCAGTAGTTGTGGCTCGCAGGCTCTAGAGCGCAGGCTCAGGAGTTGTGGCGCACGGGCTTAGTTGCTCCGCGGCATGTGGGATCTTCCCAGCCCAGGGCTCGAACCCGTGTCCCCTGCATTGGCAGGCGTATTCTTAAACACTGCGCCAACCAGGGAAGCCCCTCAGGCACTTTACTAGGTGTTAGGGCTACAGAGGTAGATGAGGCAGACAAGCCTTTTGCCTAAAAACATTCTTGAAGGTTATAGAACCCTTCCCCCATACATGTGCTCCCTTAGTATCTTATGTTTATCTCACTTTTCTCATTAGTTATATAATACAAAATTTTCAGTTTATATTCATTTGACTAGCACATAGTAAGTATTCAATAGACATCTCTGTAACTGAAAATATAAATCAATAGTTTTAACATCAACTATATTTTAAATTTCTTTTTTTGTTATTCTTGGAATACCCCTCCTGCTCCTCCACTATCAACTGAGGATTGGATGACTCCTAAGGAACCTGGATCCAGGGGGTCCCTATAATGTCCCACCCAAGCATCCCTGATGAGGAGAGACAGGTACCTAGCTAGGTACCCAGAAATATGGGAAGGTCATTGAAAGGGGGCTTAGGAGCAAGGGGAGGATGGGAAGAAAAGAGAAAATATTAAATTATCATAAGGAAAATGTATTTGCAGGGCTAGAAGGAGGGTGTAAGAAACAAAATTCCCCCAGTTAAAGAACACATAACTACAATGCATCAAATTCAAAACCTGAATTTAACTGCTGGTCTCAAGTATCTTCTTCCTAACTCAAGGCTGAAGATAGTCAATGGCAAAATGGTAATTATCTTGAAATACACGAAGTCATATAAGAGAAGGGTTAAAACCAGAAGAAAGAAGCAGAACCACTGGGTGGAAGCTACAAGGTCACAGCTTCCAATTTAATATAAGGTTGATATCAACAGACAGAGATGCTCAACAATGGAACTGGTTGCCTCATGAGGACAGAACCCTGCCATTGGAGATAAAACACAGATACATTTTGAGTGAGCTCCTTTAGCACACAGACTGTGATCCTAATGTTTGGCATGTAGAAGACATTAGAAAAATGTTTAAATGAATGAGGGAGGAATGGATGGGAGAGTGTAAATCAAATTTAAAAAATCCCTTCCAGTTTATAATTCTATGACAACATAAAATCCAAGTCACAGCTTCTTTCCCATTTCTCACCAGTCCCCTGGAGGAAGTGGTATTTACAGTTAGCCAGGGAAGGAAAAATAATGGACTCATCCCAGATAATCAGATTTAAAGATATTCCCAAAGGTGGCTGTTTTAGTTTTGCAAAGCTCTCTAACCCTATTCTACCTTCTTCCATAATTAATCTAAAGTGTATGCCAGCCTCAAAAATGCTAGTCCTCAATATATGGCATTGACTTCTTTCCACTGAAGGGATTGCCCATATAACACATATAATGCTGAGGGTGAAAAAAGGAAATAAAATGAAGTGAAACAGTTAACTGTCATCTCTCAGAGCATAGAATAATTAAGAATTTTGGATGGAGCTAGTTGGCTCCCTTTTAATGTTAGCAGATTTATCCATTAAAGAGTTGACGCATAACGTACTTTAGTCATTAAAAATATACTCAAGCACTAGAAGGAAATATTTCAATAAATTATTTCTGGCAACTTCTGCCAAGCAATGAAACCCTCTCATTTTTCCTTTCATGAGGAATTAATGAGATAAAGTGCTGGAAAAAACGGTGTGGGCTCTTTAAAGGAAATTAACATTTTTAGAGTCTCGAAGGAAACAGTACAGTAGTATTTGTAGTAGGGAGAAAACCTCCCTTCTCTGTGGATTTCCAAAAACCGAGTAGCAAATTATCATTTTCACAGGATGATCATAGACTAGAACTTCACTTATGCAGTCCCTTTTCTCTTTCACATATTTAAGCGATATAAGTACATATTCAGAGGATGGCTGCAGAAGTCCTGTGGCAGCTTCCAAAATGAATGTCTAAAATATATAAGTTTAAATAAATATTTTGCAACCATATTTTGCATAGAATGTAAGTGGGAAAAGGTTTTACTGGACGAGCTCAAGCTTTTGAATACTTGGATCAGGTACTAGACTAAAAAACACTGGTATAAATAAAGTTTTTTGTACTATTTATTTATGACCTCTGTTGCATGCACTTTTTAAGTCATGGTGATGATTTTTCCTAGTACAGAGTAGCAGCTTAATAAATACTTTTAAAACATTTAAACTGTAATGTGCAGGCTCTCCTTCCCATTCCCTTATAACCAAAGTTATAGTTGGACACAGTGCTATTGTAGCCAAGGAAAAGATACTGTCTTTTAATATAGTTCAGACCCACAAAGACACATGCAGGCATATCACATACAGAAACATGTTCAATCTCCTTGCCCCTCTTTGTTTCTACAGCACCCTGTATGCACTGCCATCACTGCATTTATTACATTATGTCATTATTATTGGTTTACTAATTTATCACCTTTGACTGAGCACCTTGGTATAGGTACATTGTTATTCATCTTTGTTACCTAGTATTGAGGACAATGCCTGGCTCATAGAAGGTGCTCCAACTCAATGAGTTAAAGGACCTTCAGGATGAATCCTAATAAATGTACTCAACTATATGGTCAGCAGCAAAGAAAATTCCTTTGTTAACCTGACAGTTCTAAGTAAAAATTATTTCAACCAATCCACCCAAATTCTGTCTGAAACATGAAACTTACAGAACAAGAAGGAGCACATTAGCAATAATCTCGCATGGAAAGTTTCTGCCTTTAAGAATTTACTGAGACTTTATTCACGCTACATTAACTTTATCTATTCACTGCTGTGGCAGATAAAAAAGAATAGGAAGTGGGCATGTGAGTGGAGGATAGGCCTTCTGTTCAATGAAAAGCAAGCAAACAGGCTTACCTCTTCGGATTGCTCCCGGGTCTGTGCAGGTGAAGATCTTCTTCCCACTGTAAGTCGATGGCACGGATATGAGAGCCCTGATTCAGCAAGACACATCTGCAAATAGTAGAATCCATCATTTGTAAACAAAATGAAGTCATATTTCACAAAAAAAATTTTACTTTTCAGGTATTTTCTATTATTTCTGAAGCAAGATTAGAAAGTTCACTCTAGTAGCCTAGGCATTACATTCCAAGGAAGGCTTTGAAAATTTTTCCATATACGGATGTTACAACAGCAAGGCTATTTTTCATTAGACAATAGACTGGAGCTCCAGGAAACTGTAACAAGCCTAAAGTAAAGCTAATCATATATACCTCCCCACCCCAGCATGTCTGTTACTTTTCTGATTAGTAGAATAACACCTCCATTTCCCAATTCCCAGGGCAGTACTTTATAAATCTATTTTGAAGGGTATTGGAAGAGTGTTTGTGGAAGGCATTTTAAAAAAACCCACACATTTCTATACATGGTAACAATGTCATTTATGCTCTAATCAATATTAATCCACAATTTCAGATCATTATAGCTGATGAGTCTATAATATATGTAAAAGCTCCTAGCACAGTACCTGGCACACAGACATTCAGTTTTATTACCATTATGATCTAAAACGCTAACCAAATTTAGCCAAAACAATGAAAGTAATATATACTTATTTCTATTGAACTTTATTTTGGGTCTGATATTAAATAACTAGTTTGAGATTTAAATTAAATTTAGGAAAATATGAATGCATGTCACTTTTGTCTGCATAAAAGAATTAAAACAATATTAAATAGCCAAAAGATGGTATTTTTCTTTGGTGTTAGTAAAATGACATACATTTAATGTAATGATGATATACAGTGAAGTTCCTTTTATTATTATTAGAAATAAAATAGGGTATCCACTAGCACACTGAAAGCATTCATTGTAACTCTGGGGGAGGTGTGAATTAAATTGATATATGAGGAAACCCAAATATCTGTAAATTCATAGGGACCAGACACAATAGTGGGTCAGTCCTAACTACAATTCAAACGTGTTATAATTAGGCTAATTATCTGAAGACAAATACTGGAATGGAAAATGCAAATGTCACCTAAATATCCAGGTATTTTCAATCATGTATGGTGTGTGCTGTCATATAGATTATACAGATAAAAATCATGTGTTTTTTTATTGTTATCTTTCCTTTAGTCTCATTAGAGGTTTTTGTTTGTTTGCTTTTGCACCTAGATATTTTGGCATTGCACTTTACAAATGCTAGAAGGCCTGATTAATAAAATAAATAAATAAAAGCAAAACTGCAATGACTGTCATTTCTATTCAGTCATATCCATCAAAATAATTGTCACAATTAGCTCAATTTATTTCATTTCAGTACAAATAAAAGCAAAGCTACGCTGGATAAGAAGCACAGGCAAAATTTCAAGACACGCTGCCTTCATTTCTTCGTTTGAAAAAAGTTCTCCTCCCTCACTCTGAAATCCTCTGGTAATGAAATAGTAATGATGGTAAATGTCACTGACAATCAGAAGCAGTGTAGTGTAATGGAAAGAGAACTGGAAGAGCCAGAAAAATCTCAATTTAAGTACCACCTAGCTTCCTGATCTTGGAAAAGTCATTTCTCTGTTCTAAGCTAGAGTTCCCTCTTCTATTAATTGAGGTGAGTAATCCCTGCCCTAACTACCTCAATGGACTTTTGAAAGGGTTAAAAAGAATAAGATAAGAAAAGATGGCTTTGAAACTATACTGAAATAGGCAGAAGAGCTGTTATCACTCCAGTGGTCATTATTTTTAGGACCTGGCGAAGAGGAATGGTGATTAACTTCCACTGTCACTACCTTTGCATACAGAGCAATCGTAAATTAAAAGAGGACATATTTTAGGAGGAGCTGGAGGAAGGCGCTCACTAAAAGTACATGGTACTACAAATGGGCTGGCTCTTTAATGGGCTTGTCTCCACAGTTATCAATATTAACCTTCCCCATAGCTACTAAAATTCCTGAAGATAAGAGGACAGTGGCCAGCACTTTCTCCTTAGTCTATAGCTGAACAAGTAGGCCTACTCTACACTGAGGAAATTAAAGGGTCAAGAATTTCTATGTGCCCGGCATTGATTAAATATAAGGCATCGTGTCTGTTTTAAGGGAACAGATATACCAGTCGGGGAGACAAGAGATACACATAGGAACAGAGACAGCTGGGATTATATCACAGTCTCAGTAGAGCTGGGGACCCCTTGGAAGGGACAATAGTTACTTAGAGAGTGATTTCAAGAAGTTAGGGCTACAGTAAAGGTTTGCTGGGACTCATGACCAAAGCTATAACAGATGTGAAGTCAGAAGGCAGAGGTTCCAGGCTAGCTAAAGCACTCAACAACAATGGGCAAAATCACTTAGAATTTCTGTACTTCAGTTTTCTTACTTAGAAAATGGTGTATTAAAATTGTTCTATTTCTCTCACAGAGTTGGTATGAAGATCCAATAAGATAATGTATGTGAAATCAAATGGTTATGTACTTGTAAATAACCAATATTATTATCATTCGAGTATTTATTTTGCAAGAAATTAGAAAAAGAAATTTCTAGGTTTGTTTGACTAGAAATTTGCAGGTTTGTTTGACTTTATAGTTGAAAATTTACATTTAGATTTACATACATCATATTAGTTAATTAACCTCTATATAATGGTAATCTTTCAATCACAAGATTGCTTTAACCTACTTTTTCACTAACCTCTCCCAATCCTTAAGTATCCAGAAGATTATATCCCCAGGTGTGCGGCAAGTATGTAGAATTAAACAGTAAAATAAAGGAATCTTGACTTTATCCTATATTGAATTTTTGAACCCATTTTGAATCTCTGCACCTGCCATGATGGGAAGTCAAAGAATTAAGTCTAATATAGCCAGAAAAAAACTGAATAAAGAGTTGAAAATAGATTTTGAAATGAGTCACAGTCCTTCACTGTACTAGGTTAAAGCAGTTTTTCCCCAGAAAGTAACACTGTGAGTTACACTTTCGTTAACTACTTGAACTTGCATACTTAAACACACTGGTGGGGTGGAAAAATTTGTAAACTGGTAATCTCTAGGAACAGAAATACTCAATAAAGGCTTTCTATATAAAGAACAATGATCCCCATTTGAGCGAATACCATAAATTTAAGCTTGAAATTATACTGGAAATAAACACAGATCTTGGCTATGTAATGAATAAGAATACAAAAATATTTGTAACTGAAAAGTGGAGAGGACAAAAAAACCTGTAAGTCTAGCTTAACACTGTAGAAGGTTCTATGAGGGCAAGAATGGGGCCTGTCTAGTTCTCTCCTAAGCTTATCATTAAGAAAACTGTTAACAATCCCTACAGTTGAGTGAAAAAAGAAAAATATCTCTGAGATTAAAATAAATGGCTCTAATGTACATGGAAATCAGATATGAGTATTATGAAACCTAAAAAATATAAATTGTAGGAGAGACACAGAATCAAAGAAATTCCATAAGACACTTATATACCTAAAATACCAAAATATAAGATTAGGTCTTATCTAAAATTCTTTCTCCGAAAAGGTTGCCTTATATTTGTGTTTACAAAGGTTCTCATATTACAGAGTGCTCCCTCAAATATTTTAATTTTAACTACAATAGACTGTTTGGGAAAAACAGATTAGCCTGAAATAACCCTTCCCCTCTCCTGTCAATGATGCTTCAGGTGCTTACAGAGCTCATCTGTCAGAACTGGTTAACAAAGGAGACAAGGATATTTAACACCAATTTCATGATTATTCTTAGAGGTATAATCTCACAACTGCAAGTGTTGGAAGTCCTTGTAAATAAGCCTTTAAAAGATATTTTGGAAAATGTCTTGGGAAGACGATGAATATACACCTATAAGACAGATGAAACTAAACAAATAAAAAACAAAAAAACCATAGCTGCCCTAATGATACATAATAGAGATAGTATTAGACCAGTAATTTCTCACAGGGTTGGGATACGCCTGAGCTAATATGTGTAAAGCATTAAGAACAATGCCTAGGCCACAGTAGATGCTCAACAAACGCTCTTTTTGTTATTCTGTGAATGAGTACTTGTGGCTTGGGATAAAATGACCAGTGAGAATATAACACTGATTCAAAATAATGCTAAATTAATGAATTAATTTGACAAGTATATATTCTACTACATTAACACAAAAAGCTTATATATTTTAAACTGTTCAACAAACTCCTCTTTACAAAAATAAGCGATTTTACAGTATTTACATTTTAAAAATAAGACCACATTTTTAAGCATGATAGCCACTGTAGGCAAGAATTCAAGCTGATTCTTCTTGTCAGCTGATGACTGAAAGTGTAACAGGGAAGAACAAATGTGACCCCATATTGGATCTGTTTCTTTTACTTTAACCTCTGCATTCTAACTGCTTTTTCTACAAGTTAGGAATGTTGCCTATAGCCTGAAAATATACATGATAGCCCATTCTCAAGGCTCTGACCTTCAAAGGTATAAAACTTTCCCATTCATATACAGATAAAAAGCTGCAGAACAGAAAATAACATTTGTTTTGTTGGAGGTTTACAGGAACACTGTGACTGGACCTATCTATGTGGACAGCTGCAAGAACAAAGGATTCCGGCACTAAGAAGTTTGCAAGAACCAACAACACCCCTCCCCTTTCAGTAGAAAAGAAGCCTGAATTCTAACTCAGGTAAGATGGTTCTTTGGGACACTAGTACACCATCTTCTCGGTCTGCTGGCTTTCCAAATAAAGTCAGTATTCCTTGCCTCAACAAGTCGATTTATTGGTCTGTCATGTGGTGAGCAGTATGAGCTTGGACTCAGTACCATAAGGATGTCAAATTTGTTTTGAAATTAGACTTGAAGAGGGCTTTCCTGGTGGTGCAGTGGTTAAGAATCTGCCTGCCAATTCAGGGGACATGGGTTCGAGCCCTGGCCCGGAAAGATCTCACATGCCGCGGAGCAACTAAGCGCGTGCGCCACAACTACTGAGCCTGAGCTCTAGAGCCCGCAAGCCACAACTACTGAGCCCACGTGCCACAACTAC